TCAGGTAGCAAAGTGCTTGCCTTGCAAACAAGGACCTGGGTGATCTCTAGAAACCTGTGTGAAAACGCTGTGTGGGATGGTTCATGCTTGGAATCCCGGCGCTGGGGAGGCAGAGACAAGTGGATCCCTGAAGCTTGTCGCCCCTCCATGTTACCTAATAACGGAGTTCCAGGTCAAGCGAGAGACCCTGTCTCAGGTTGGCAGGGCCCGAGGAAGGTACCCGAGGTTGACCTTTAGCTGCTAATCACTTCTTAAAGGCTTTACGATTGAGCCAGTGGGGAGGCAGAGGGAGGTCATCTGACCTGGGTCTTCAAACCTGATGAGTTGGCTGCTGTGTGGTTAAAACAAAGGCTCTTCTGGGAGAATCGGAGGTCTTCCAGCATTCTCTTCCACCATTTCTAAGCTGGGCATGTGGCTACTGGATGGGGTGTGGGAACCAGAAAGCCAGCCCGCTCTTCCAGAAGCTGCAGGGAAGTGTGAGGGTGTGACTCACTCAGAGCACCAAGGCCTCTGGGCATGAGGAGCAGGTGCGAGGGGCTGATGCAGAATACAGAGCAGGGGTCAGACCTTGCCCTTTGCCCCCTCTTCCACATGGTCAAGCCAGCTGACTGGTCAGAGATCACGTGCCAGTGTGACCCTGTCCTGGAAACCACAACAGAGAAAGGAAGATGTCTCAAAGAGTGGAGGGTTCGCAGACAGAGGCAAAGCCTGGACGGTGACCGTACTTTCTGACTCCCAGACGATTAAATTAGGTAAGCAGAGTGAAGTCCCAGCTAGGGCTTCCTCTCTTCCTGACCATAATCTTAGGCCAATCAAAGCCAGCAGCTTGGCCTCCTGTGCTTCTGCCACCAGCCTAACAGTCTCAGCTTCCTGACAATTCCCAGGTCCCCAGCGTGATCAGGAAACAGTCCAGGTGTTACTAATTAGTCGGATGTGCAAAGGGGAGAAATGGGTCATAGGTCAAGTCTACTGAAGGATTAATTAATTTTTTTTTTTTTTTTTTTTTGAGAAAGTGTTTCACTCTGTAGCCCAGTCTGGCCTAGAATCCACTATTCCCAGGCTGGCCTCGAACTAGAAGCGATCCCCCTGTCTCAGATTCCCAAATGCTAGGCTTACAGGCACGGTCCATTGTGCCTGGTATATTCTCTCCCCCTTGTTCTGAAATTACATCTTCTAAATGAGAGAAGGCTGCTTGGCTTCCATGGGCTTCAAAAAACAAACCCAAACCGACCGTTGATCCCTGGCCTCACACCCATACTTGTGTACGGGGACCTACATCCCCACACCCACCCCGACACATGAACACTCACACACAAACAAACAAACAACAAACAAGCGCCCGAGCTACATTTGACTTTGAAATGCGTTGTGTCTGACTCTCTAGCCTGGGAATGAGTCCTGTCCAAGTTATGTTACTGGGAGAGCTTTATATGTAAATAATTGATGTGCCGCCTCCCCATATCCCCCCCCCCCCCCCCCCCCCCCCCCCCCCCCCCCCCCCCCCGGTCAGGCCAGCGAATCACGGCCTCTAGGGGAAGAGCTTCACCATGGTGTTTTTAAAGGAGCCCGCCTATGATTCCAACATACATTCAGGATGAGGACTGCTGTGTTAGAAGATTTCATTGGTGAGGGTCCTGACTGTGTAACTGGATCTGGATTTACTAACTACTTAAACTAAGCCGGGGCTGATGGCACATTCCTGTTATCCTAGCTACTCAGGAGGCTGAGGCAGGAGATTTGACAAATTGAGGGTAGCCTGGGCTGCATAGTGAATTCAAGGCTAGTCCAGGCAGTTTCGTGAGACCTTGTTTCAAAAATAAAAATTAAAAGAAGGGGTAGGGGCTGCAGATATAACTCAAACTCAGTGGTAGAGCAGTTCCCTAGCATAGGAAAGGCCCCGAATTCAGACCTCAGTCCTGGAAATATTGCTTAATCTCTTTGAGCTTTTCCCATTTTTCCATAGAAAAAATGGGGACCACAGTGTATAATACGAAAGATTTGTCATACAAGGGCTGGTGGGATGGCTCAACAGACAAAGGCGTTTGCAGACAAGCCTAAACACCTAGCTTAATCCTCAGGACACACATGGTTTAAAAATAGAACCTTGCCGGGTGGTGGTGGCGCACGCCTTTAATCCCAGCACTCGGGAGGCAGAGCCAGGCGGATCTCTGTGAGTTCCTGGCCAGCCTGGTCTACAAAGTGAGTCCCAGGAAAGGCGCAAAACTACAGAGAAACCCTGTCTCGAAAAACCAAAATAAATAAATAAATAAATAAAATAAAAATAGAACCAACTCCCAAAAGTGGTCCTTTGACCTCCACATGCATACCTTGGTGTGAGCATACACACACACACACACACACACACACACACACACACACACACACACACACACACACAAATACATGTGCAAAAGATTGTCATCCAAATCCAATGAAATAACGTAGGAAAGCACTTAGCCACATGTTTACGAAACATAGTTTGTTACTAGGTAAAGGCTCCATTAATAGACAATGTTATTGTCCGAGTGTTATTATTAACTTGTAATGAGGAATAAAACAGCTGCCCAGAGGCAGTTATTCTGGACTCTGTCCTTGCTAGTACAGATAAACTACACACACACACACACACACACACACACACACACACACACACACAAAAAAAAAAAGTCCGATAAGCACACGTGGCTGACAATTGCACTCCACCCCTCGGAAGGCCAGAGGAAGATGCTGGGGAGACCTTTCTCCACTCCTAGCAGGGCTGGTGAGAAACTGGGGTTTGGAGCAGAGTTATGTCCATGTTGTGGGTGGTAAATATTTAGTTTTGTAAGTGTTTGCCCAAACGCAGGATTCAAGCTAAGTCCCTTTTGCATCCAAGGACTGTGGAACTGGGATCCTATATGTGGCTGGAATAAGTGATCATGACTCTCAGGTAAAATTAGAACCTCAGGTGCAGCTGGATTAGCTGAGCAGCCCCACCCACACGGTCATGTTGAGGGGCCTCTATGGGCCAATCCTCTCTCTCGGTTGCTGCACTTTGCATGTGGTTTGTCCACTGTGTTGACAGATACATTTGCTGCCGGCACAGTTCCTTCTAAGCCCTCCAGCTTCTGACCCTTTGCTGAAAGATGATGGGCATGGTGAGTGTTTCCACTGAGAAACCCCTGGAGAAGGTCAGCCGCCCGCAGAAGAGCTGCCCACGGGATCCCCTCAAACAGGTGTCCTTTTTGCTTGCCACAGAGCTGAGCAACAGCTCCTGCCTTCTGGTTGGAGATAATGATTTACTTCTTGGATCCAATGCCTTGGCCCTGTTTGAGCATCTGGCCTCAAAGGTTAAGTAGGGCCCTTTGAATGTCATGCATCATGGGCTGTAAATAAAAGGGCCCCATCTTTCCACCCACTCATACCAAAAGTGTCCGTGCAAATGCTCCTTCCAGGGCTGGAAAGACCCGCAGATTCCCCAGCACGTGTCTGTGCTCAGACTCTTTCCTGTTTGGCCTTAAGCTAAGCATGCCATGCATCCTGAACCCACGTGGAAACGCGTTCTGTGCTCTGCCCCAGTTCTGGAGTTTCTATTCCACGTGCGTGAATAGTCTCGTCCTTTGTGTGTTTTTGGGAGAGAAGGCTTTGGTGGAAAGTGTGCACTGGAGGAATACTGGACGAGATCAAAGAACTTTTCAGTCTGTAGGGACTGAATTTAGTTGGTTTTCCGAGCGCAACACATTAAATGTGAACAGCCCATAGGGGAGGAGCTCTTTTGTGTACCGTTTCTTCTCTCAGCACTTGGGGGACTCCAGAGCTCCTTGTGTGCTGGTCCCAGGAATTTGGAGCACTTCCGGGCTGGTGCACTGAGCCAGGGACATCAAAGGTTCTGTTTGTGGCCGTGAGAGTACAGAGGGAGGAAGCCTTCATCTTGGTCGCCTTGCCTCCCCACCCATGATTGCTTTTATTATTTACACCAGCCAAACTTGGGGAAGTTGCATGACCACAGTGTGTGTGAGCCACATACAGCACTTGCTTTGGAAGAACTTCTTACACGCGAACCTTGTGGAATCCCTGGCCTCTGGCTCAACTGGGGATGAGGGTGGGGTGTGTGTGTGTGTGTGTGTGTGTGTGTGTGTGTGTGTGTGTGTGTGTAGGAGTGGTGGAGCCCGTCATGGTTAATTCAACGCAGCATGTGTATTCAGGATGTTTTCTTAAAACATGACCTCATCTCTTCCAGCCCACGGGCTGTCATTATATTGGTGGTCACTTTTGACTTGGCTACAAAAATAATGCCTCCCATTACTAATGTGAAAGTTCATAGATTGCACACAGGATATTCTTACCTCCCCCCAAGAGGCAAGCACTCGGAAAGATGACCGATACTGTCTCATCAGAACGACTCATTAATTCGAGGAAAAACAAAGCAAAACAAAATAAATCCATGTGAGATCAGTCAGGCACTGGGTAGATTGAACATCTGAGGAAGCCCCCTCTTCCAAAGAATTGTAGTTTTTGATTTCATTATCTTTCGGTACTGGAGATTAAACCCAGGGCTCCATTCGTACTGGGTAGATGTGAACACCTTGGAGGGGTCTGTTCTCTCTTTCTTTTCATCAGACAGGCACGTAATCAACTGAGGCACAAACTCATTTTTTTCAACCAAGATTCTTTAAGTGCCTAGGATGTCTTGAGTCTCATAGTGCAGGGACACATGAGAAGTAAAGAATAAAACAGTTTAAAGTGGGGATGTCACGAGAGGAATTGATAAAATTAACAGGGGGCTCTGTTTGTGTATGTTAAGTCCAGTAAAATCAAAGCATGCACCGAAAGCTGTTAACTAGTTGGGGGACTGGGTAGTAAAAAAAATATATATATATATATAAATTTTAAAGAAAGTCATTTCTTTGTTGAAATATTGGACACTCTTAGAGAGGAACTGTTCTCCCACAGGCCAGCTCTTAGCTGAAAAAGAAGTTTGGAGTCACTGATGTTCATGAAACAACTGCTTCTTCTCACAGGCGGAAGTTCAGCCAAGCAGACCACCTGGGAAGGTGGGCATCGTGTCCCAGCACTGGCTTACTGGCCTGGCAGAGTCCCAGCCAATGTCACGAGCACTGCCTTGCTAAGGTAGGAGATCTGAAAGACCTTTGGATTTGGAGGGGGTTTGGAGCCAGAGTCGATGTGGACACATGGGAGGCTGGAGATCCCGGCAAACTCAGTGCTCTTCCGTTACCTTTATTAGCCAGGAATTCTACATATGCCCGAGCTCTGACGGCAGCAGTGTGGATTTGCCTATAAAGCAATTCCATGTGGCAAAGAAGGCTGCAGAGGTCCTGAACTGCCCCCCCCCCCCGGGGACAATACTTGAGTAAACAAGGGACCTTGCTGGTTCCTAATCCTCGGCATTAGTTCTTGGCAGTGTGTGCTACAGAGAAAAGCAGGCAAAAAAATGGCAGCCAGAGTGAAGTGCCCGGAAACCCTAATTATTCATCCCATTTTATTAGGCATTAGGGTAGATGTCCTAGGTGTCTGGGGGAAACCTGCACATCACTGGTGATCAAATGCCCCTAAGAAAGAAGTACAGACATCTGAATGCCCTGGAGGCCAGGAAAGAGACAGATGGCCCCAGTGGACTAAGAGGGAAAGAATCCTTAGATGAGGATGTCATCCAGCCTTGGGCAATGCAGCCTCCAGTGGCAGAATCTCTAGGAACATCTCTTGTCAGGAGCACTGTATGTACGAAATCTCTCCCATGTATTAAAGCAAAAAGATAAAGTCGGTTTCTTGGCAGAAAATCTGGCTGTGACGGGTCTCTGGAAACGTTGCCATGGGAACTAAGGAACCCTGACTTATAGCTGGTACCCCTCACTAAGTCATTTAAGAAGAATTTGTTTATTTATATATTTAGTGTATGTGTGCATGTGGAGTGTGTGTGTGTGTGTGTGTGTGTGTGTGTGTGTGTGTGTGTGTGTGTGTGTATGTGTGTGTCTATACATGCATGTGTATAGAGAGGCCAGAGTTCATCACTGGAATTGTTTTTCTGAAACCATCCACCTTGTGTTTTGTTCTATGACTTTATTTAATTTTTAAGGTTTGCATGTGTGAGAGTCCTCTGTCTACATACATTTTATGTTTGCCATGTACATACAGTGTGGTGGAGGCCAGAAGATGGCATCATATCTCCTGGAACTAGAGTTACAGACAGTTGTGACCCATTATGTAGGTGCTGGGAACCGAACACAGGTCCTCTGTAAGAGCAGCGAGTGCTCTTAACCACGGAGTCATTTCCCCAGCTCCTCACCTTTCTCTTTGAGACAGGGTCTCACTATGATCTGGGGTCTCAATGATTTGGTTAGGCTACCTGGCCAGCCAGCCCCAGGGGCACTTCTGTCTTTGCCTTAACCCATCACTGAGATTACAAGTGCATGGTGCCATACCCAACTTTCTACATGGGTACTGGGGATCGAACCCGGGTCTTCACGCTTGTGTGGCAAGCACTTTACCAACTGTACTATCTCCCAAGCCCAACTCCTTGCTAATTCAGATGGGTCACTGCTGTCTGGTTCTACCTTGTACTCACCGACACAGCAGAGGCACCACCCAAGTTCTTACTCATGTGCTTGGGACAATACCGTTTGTCTGGTTGAGAGGTTCTTTGGCAACAACCTGATAGGTTCTGGCAGGAGAACCGTGCCAGCCAGAGGAAAGCAGACATTACCAGCACCCTCCAACATCTCCAGACCCAGCAGAGAGGAAGGGCTGAAACTGAAGTCAAGGGCAGGAGGGGTGGGCAGTTCTGACAGCCACAGAAATGGGCGAGTAGGCATCACCCCTGCCAGCCCTCAGATCCCTCGGGGGCTGCGGGTCATCCCTGTGCTATCAGGAGGGGGCAGCGTGCAGTTCGAGGGAACCAGCAGGCGTGACAACAACCACGCCGTTTGGAATCCATGATGTCAGGCTGCCTGGAAGAAGGCCAGGAGGTCTGCTTCTATAGATGTGGCTTGGGTGGATCCAGGTTGCTTATCAAGGGGTGGGGGCGAGTGCTGGGCTGCCCCTGCACAAATAGGTCCATAGACTCTTCAAGGCTTGGCTTTTCCCTCCTGAAACGTAAGCAGTGGCCTCTTATCTGAGAATTGTGTTTGTACCTGCCATCAGCGACGGCACCACAATAAGCTATTGTCTCATTGACAGTCAGACGACAATGACCGAGGCCATAGTTGGGTGACTAAAGAGAGTTCTTGGTATAGAGAGCATTTTCCTGAGGGCCTCTTTGTCAGAAGAAAGCTAGCGGAGCATGTCAGCCCCTCTTGGGATGTTTTTGGTGTGAAGTTAGTCCGAATGGCAGCCAGGGTTTCTCTCTCTTCTTCTTCTCCCATGTCAATCCACGCAGGTGACTGGGTGAGGCTTCTTACTGCCTTTTTCCTGGGGCCCCCTCATGTCAGCACCCAGGGGAACATGATTTTGATCCATGTTCTAGAACGGAGTGCTCACACTTCATTTCGTGGTAGCCCCGGCTTGTCACCTGTGTTAGTACTTTATCCTTGGAGGAGAGGGGCCTTCTACAGCATCGGTAACTTCTTTGTGGCCAGAGTTCCTTCAGTGTCTATTCAAATGCCCCAAGAAATTAGGGCATCTTAAAGTAGTCGAGTTAATGTACATACTGTCATAAAGACAGAAGTTTTAAAAAGAGCATTCTGGGAGATATGTGTGGGGAGTACCAAAGATGGCTTAGCTTCCAGAGGTGCCTGCTGCTAAGCCGGGTGAACTGAGTTCCATCCCGGTTCTCACAAGGTGGGAAGAGAGAAATGACTCCTGGAAGTTGTCTTCTGACCTCCACATGTGCATGCAGCACCGGTGTGCCCCCACACATACACACAATAAACAAACAGACATAATAAAAATTCAATTTAAAAAGGATATGCTGGGGGGAGGGGTGCTGGAGAGATGGCTCAGTGGTTAAGAGCACTGGCTGCTCTTCCAGTGGTCCTGAGTTCAATTCCCAGCACCCACATGTTGCTCACAGCCATCTATAGTAGGATTGATGCCCTCTTCTGGCATAAGATTGTACATGCAGACAGAGCACTCATATACATATAAAAAAAAAGAAAGAAAAAGAGTGGGCTGGAGGCATTTAGCATGAAGCTCATTGGCTATTTTTTAGAGAAACCCAGTGTTAATAGTTGGATGTATGCCTCACTGGTATAAAATTATTTAAGAAAGATCTTGCACATGACTGCCCCTCAAAGCCTGAAGACATATTCCCAAATAGAGACAACCCATTATTTAACAAATATTTTATTGCTGATTCCAACTATGGGTGAAACATTGCTCTGGATATTAGGGAGGTAGTCATGAGCAAATCAGCTTGGAAGGTATTGGTTTTGAGAAGTCAACTTACCTTCAGAAGAATGACTTTGTGGGCAAAGTCGAAAAGTTGTGATAATTTTACCCTACAATTCTAGTGAAGTGCTTCTCAAACTTAACATTGTGTATATTTTGAGCCAGATAATTATTTGCTGTGGGGGATGGGGTCTGTCCTGTGAGTTGTGGGATGTTTAGCACAATGCCAGGCCTCTTCCTGGTAACTGTTTATAACAACCAAAGTATCTCCAGGCAGTACCACATGTCCCCTGGAAGGACAGAAAGACACTATTTGAGAATCACAACTTAAGTAAAATTTCTCTTAGTCTTATGGAAGAAATTGAAGGTTCCGCTCTGTACCTGAGATGGACATCTCCATCCCTGTTCTGGATGGAGGACCACTCCTGGCTCTGTGCCTGAGATGGGCATCTCCATCCCTGTTCTGGTTGGAGGACCACTCCTGGCTCTGTGCCTGAGATGGGCATCTCCATCCCTGTTCTGGATGGAGGACCACACCTGACTCTGTAGCTGAGATGGGCATCTCCATCCCTGTTCTGGATGGAGGACCACTCCTGGCTCTGTGCCTGAGATGGACATCTCCATCCCTGTTCTGGATGGAGGACCACTCCTGGCTCTGTGCCTGAGATGGGCATCTCCATCCCTGTTCTGGATGGAGGACCACTCCTGGCTCTGTGCCTGAGATGGACATCTCCATCCCTGTTCTGGATGGAGGACCACTCCTGGCTCTGTGCCTGAGATGGACATCTCCATCCCTGTTCTGGTTGGAGGACCACTCCTGGCTCTGTGCCTGAGATGGGCATCTCCATCCCTGTTCTGGATGGAGGACCACTCCTGTCAAGAACAGGGGCAAGCAGGAGTTAGCTGGACTGATAAGTTCTTGCAACAATCTCATTGGGAAATCGGCTGGAGCTGCAGAGAAGGCCCAAGCTACCCCAAGGGGCCCTGCTGATACTAGTAAGACAGTGGTTCTAAGGAAGAAGTGAAGCTCAGCAGATTGTGTCTTGTCTGCAGGCATAGAATTGGGTCCAGATGCAGAAGCTGTGAAGTCCTTGTCCACATCATGTCCTGTGGTCTATATGATACATCCTGGGCGGTACCCAGCCATGCATCCCCTCTCAAGGCCATCTGCTCTCTCCTGGGTCTGGCAGTGGTGAGAATTTAGGGAGATGGGCCAAGGTCTCTCTCCTGCCCCCTGAGATGCTGTCCAGAAGAGACACTTGTCATTTGTTGTTTGACATCCTCTGATGCTCTAGGACCCCGGCTTTCTCTGAAGTAGGTACTTTGGGGGCCAGGCTTACCTATTAGAGAGACTCAAGAGTGGGGAGATCCTGGGATGGGCTGCCAGTCAAATGTGAACGCAGGCTAGCCCCCGAAGCCTCTGCAGTGTGACTAAGACCAGGAAGGGGTGGAGACCCAGCTTTTCCAGGGATAATGAGAGGGAATAACAATGCTGAAAGAAAATTACAATTAAATGCTAAAAAAAGAGCCTGTTTCTGTGTCCCGGGGACGGTTCACCCTCCCCTGGAGGTGGTTCTGTTCTCATCTCTTCTGTTCTTGGCACCTTTCTGTACTTGCCTCCTTCACTCCCGGGGAGAGAGGGGAAGAGAGTGACTCCTTTACCCTGGTCCAAGTATCCCCAGTCCTTCCCTGACACCCCGCTTCTCTTTTTCCATCTTTGGGTCAGATTTCCCCCAGTTCAATTGCCCTCGGCTTCTAGGAAACCCTCCTTCCTGCCTTCTCCCTGC